CTACTTCCGTAGTGATACTGCCTCGGAAACCCAAGGAGGGGTCGCTATGAGTCAGGTTTGACTCGACGGCACATAACAACAACAACAACAACCCTTAACTAGAGAGCAGACACATATTAAGTTGGGTGAAGGGAAAGGTTAAAAAATAAAACATGACAAAAAGAAAAAGAAATCAAATGGTCTTTATGCTGATCATACTTTTAAGAAGGTGAAAAGATTACCTTGGTTACAAATATAAAGTTTCAAAGAATGAAAAGAAAATCTCTCTACTACCAGCAAAGACAGAAAATGGTATTAAGAATCTGTGCCAGTGAATGTGCCACTCTCCACTTTTCCAAATTTCTCTGAAAATACAAAGCAAGATACCTTACTATTACACTGTGATCTACCAACAAGTGATCATTTTAAAAAGATGGCAGAATTTTGTTTCCAAGGTGAAAGAGGACTGGTAGAGTTTGAATGAGGAAATTGGTATACAGAGGCCCACATCTCTGGAAAGAGACCAGAAAGAGCCAGCCACTTGGCTGGTTCTCCATCACATGCTTCTCCTAGGTTCCTGGCTTTCTTGTGTCTCTTAATTACAACACATGTTCTTCTCTCAGCATTACCCACTTGGAAAAGTAGTTCTCTGGTAGAAAGGCTTTTGCTCAGGCTGCTCTACACCGTGGGACACGCTCACCTCAGTCTTCCAACAAGAACCAAAGTACGTACTTTGCCACTATAATCTTCCACTACATTGAACTAGGAATTGCTCGATATATATATAACAAAAAAAATAATGGGAATTAAAAGACCCCTTAAGTCACATCTCCATCTCCTTGGGAATCTGGCAGAGGGAGCAATAAGGATACTGTCAATGCAAGGAAACACATACCTGGTTTTACTGTCACATTCACATAGCCTTCCCCATGGGTACTTTGACCATCTACAATCACTTTGAATTCATAGAGGCCTGGAGTGAGCTGCAGAAATGAGAGAAGCTCTTTTAGACAACCACAGAAGAGCAATGATTATATTTAAAATAACACATGTATCTTAACTTTCCCAGGCTGAATCTCAATCTCTTCTTACACTGCTTCCTGAATGACAAAGTAAACTAGCTGAAGAGAAGAAACAACGAATTATAAACTAAAGAAACATAGCTTTTAAATGTGAATCCTATTACCAGCTGACTCTAAAAAAAAACAGAAGGACTTCAGTATCTCCATACTTCCACTTTCTTTTCAGAAAAATATTAAGGGCCTAACCAACCTATTTCACAAAATTGTAACGATAACCCCTACAAAGAAAAACATTTTGCAAAAATATGAAATAGCTCCCAAATATCTGAACATTCTTCCCTCCACATATCCATTAACTGCAAAAAACATAAAAGGAAAAAAATGATAAAATCACCCACAATCCCACTATCCTCACACATCAACTCATCATATTCTAATTCCTTCCAATCTCTGACCACATACAAAAGTAATTTTAAATAGTACATTTCTTCAACAAACATTTATTGAGAACCAATTATATACCCAGTCACTGTCCTAAGCTTGGGACTTAAATATGCCTCTAAGAGCTCATATTTCAATAGTAATACTTTTTACTGTCCTCTCTTCCATTCACTTGGCATGAACCTGTTATGACATATACAGTCTTTTCAATTGCTGAAAAACAGTACTGGAATAAATATGCCACCATTTACATAAGCATTGGCATTGTTGGATACTTAGGTTGTTCCCAAATGTTTACTGTTACATATAATGCTGTAGTGAACATCTTTGAGGCAAATGGGTTTTTTCTTTCTTTTGAATTATCTTCTTTGGATAAATATTAACTGATCTCTCTGTGGCATATGGAGTTTTGACCATCTCCTTCTTCTTGGAATACTCTCCTTCCTTCACTTTCACTTCTTTGCTCATTCCTCCTTTCCTTCAGGTTCCTCTTCCTTCCATCCCTTAAGTGACAGTGTCTCCTTGTATTCCAATCTCAATCCACTTACCTCTTCACTTTACACACTCTCTCTGGTAGATCTAATCCACTTCTACGGCTTCAATTCCCATCTATTTGAGGGTGCTGTGCAAATGTCGCTCTCTAGCCCAAATGTGCCTCCTGATTTCTAACCCCTTATCCTCGGCTTCCCAAACAGCTCCACCAAACTCACTTTGTCCAAACTAATCATCTTTCTCCCCAAACCTGCTTCTCTTTCTGTGCTCCTCATTTCAGTGAATGGCACCACAATGGCACCAACATTCACCCAGGTGCCTAAGCCAAAAAGAATTCTCAGAATTATCTTAGACTCCTCTTGTCCAACACTCTCCACCCAGGTAACTGATCAAGTTTTATCAAGTCAACCTCCATGCACATCTCAAATATGCTCGATTCTCTTCATTTACACTGCTATCATCTTAGTTCTTAACCACTCATCACAGCATAGTTGCATCAAGTTGATTCTAACTCATAGCAAACCTAAAGGACAGAGCAGAACTGCCCCATAAGGTTTCCAAGGCAATAAATCTTTACAGAAGCAGACTGCCACATCTTTCTCCTACAGAGTGGCTGGTGGGGGTTTCCATTAGCAGCAGAACACTTTAACCACTGTACCACCAGGGTTCCTTTAAGAGATGGAAACTCAAGTTCCAATCTTCCTTTTAACAGCATTGTAAACTTTGGCCATACCACTTTATTTTTCCAATTTTTAATTTGTCATTTGTAAAACAGTATTAATAACTACATCTTGGGATTATACAAAGATCAAATGAAAATTGTGAGAAACAATTAGCACTGTGTTTGACACATGGTATGAATCCCATAGGCAGTTTTTAATTTTTATTTTATTAATCTAGTTTTTTAGTTTTTTCATTCAGCCTATCATCATCTCACACCAAGATTGTTCAACAGATTCCACACTGGTCTTCCTATCTTGAACATTATCTCCTTCAATCTGCACTCAGGGTGATGTTTCTAAACCGAAAATATGAACATGTCACTTCCTGCTTAAAATCTTTCAAAGGCTCCCTATTCTCTCTAAATAAGATTCAAAGTTCTTGATCTGGCAAACTAGGTGCCAAAGGAAAATGACCATTATCATGACTCTTAATAACCATACTGTATCTCAAAGGACTGAGCCAATTTATACAGGCATGCGGCCACAAATAACCTGGCTTATCTCCCAAATTCTAAAATCCTCACATTATCCTTAAAAGCTGTTTAGCATATATTTTCAGCTATCATCACCATGCTGGTACAATCTTCTCACCATAAATGAAAATTTGAGAATCATACACTAACAAATATTGGATGCCAGCCAATCAGACTTTTGAAGGATTCACTTCTGAAGGACTATTCCAGACTTGTCCAGTATGGACAGAAAATTCTATGATGTTATACATTTTAGTAAAGTGGCCAACACCTGCACCTGAGCCATGAAAGTGAAAGGAAGCAGATTCACCTTGGATAATTTGAGGATCTGGGAATGTTTCCCTTCCATTTCTCCACTATAGTCCTTAGGATGAGTAATCAGCTGCCAGTCGTAGGTGTAGGTTTCTCCTAAAGAAGGGCAGTTACAAAAATCATGAAAACACACACCTACACACAAAGAGGACAGTCACACAGCCTGCCAATAACAAATCACTTCTACATCTTGACAAAGCCTTAGTTTTTAAGATTTCCTCCTAAAGTTGATAGAGAAATGAACTCATCTGCTGTGAGGAAAAAAAAAAAAAAAAAAGGTAGAGTCTACTGATTCAGCTACCATTAAGCCTTCTTCCACCGTCTCCTAGCCATGTTCATTCCTGTCCCATATCCAGCTTCTCTAGGGCCAATCCGCCCTAAAAAATACCGGGTTGTTCATGATGTGGCATCTTGGTGAAAATATATGGCCTACCAACCACTACAGATGAACTCACTGGGAACAAAGGCCATTTTCTTGTAAAACTTTTTTTGCAACAAAGAACAGCAATGACTTCTAAATAACACGGTTCAAAAATAGCTTTTTACAGAGTGCTAACAATGCTTGTCTCACTGAGGTCATCACACCCTGGTGAGTTAAAAGAGCTACTTCATTCCTGCTGAGCTAAATAACATACTGCAGGAGATGGTAGGGAATAGCCCATTTAAAACAGGCCCCACTGAAATTAATTAGAATCAAATGAAGCTTAAATGGTCCTCGATTGTAGTTCAGACTGTATCAGTGGGTAGTTTGTTTTTGTGTTGTTAGGATGCCATAAATCTGTTCCAACTCATAGTGACCCTATGTACAACAGAGCGAAACACAGCCAAGACCTATGCCATCCTCACAATCATTGCTATGTTTGAGCCCATTGTTGCAGCCACTGTGTCAATTCATCTCATTGAGTATCTTCTTTTTTGTTGACCCTCTACTTTACCAAGCACGATGACATTCTCCAGGGACTGGTCCCTCCTGATAACATGTGTGAAGTACGTGAGATGAAGTCTCACCATACTCATTTCTAAGTATCATTCTTGGCTGTACTTCTTCCAAGACAGATTTTTCTACTCTTATGGCAGAAGAATTATGGCATCGATACCCTAATTCAAAGGCATCAATTCTTCTTTGGTCTTCCTTATTCACTGTCCAGCTTTTGCATATATACAAGCAACTGAAAACACCATGGCTTGGGCAGGCTCACCTTTAGTCCTCAAAGTGACAACTTTGCTTTTGAACACTTTAAAGAGATCTTTTACAGATTTTCCCAATGCAATATATGCAATATATGGTTTGATTTCCTGACTGCTATTTCCATGGGCTTTGATAGTAGATCCAAGTAAAATGAAATCCTCAGTAACTTCAATATTTTCTCTATTTATCAAGATGTTGCTTTCTGATCCAGTTGTGAATATTTTTGTTTGCTTTATGTTGAAGTGTAATTCATACTGAATGATACAGTCTTTGATCTGCAGGAGTAAGTGTTTCAAGTTCTCACACTTTTAGATGTATTATTTGCATGTCACAGGTAGTTAAAGAGTCTTCCTCCAGTTCTGATGCCTTGTTCTTCATGTAATTCAGCTTCTCAGATTATATGCTCAGCATACAGTCTGAGTAAGTATGGTCAAAGAACACAACCCTCATGCACACCTGTACTGATTTTAAACCACACAGTATCCCCTTGTTCCATTCGAACAAACTGCCTGTTGGTTATGTACAGGTTCCACATGAGCACAATTAAAGTGTTCTGGAATTCCCATTCTTCACGTTATCCATAAATTGTGATGATCCACACAGTCAAATGCCTTTGTATTTCAATAAAACACAGGTAAACATCTTTCTAGGAGCTCTGGTAGCGTAGTGCCTAAGGCACTTGACTGCTAACCAGAAGGCTGGCGGTTCAAACCCACCAGCCACTCCTCAGAAGGAAGGTTGAGCAATCTACTTCCGTAGTGATACTGCCTCGGAAACCCAAGGAGGGGTCGCTATGAGTCAGGGCCGACTCGACGGCACATAACAACAACAACAACAAACATCTTTCTGATATTCTCTGTTTCCAGCCAAGATCCATCTGGCATCAGAAATGATATCCCTTGTTCCATGTCCTCTTCTGACAGAAATTCAAGCCAGATTCAAAAGAGGACAATGGGTAAGGCAAGGACAGAATCTTGCTGTCTAAATGGAATTCCTCCCCAGTAAAATTGGTCTTAAAATTTTTTGGAGCAAAATGTATTTCTGGCTAGGGAAGGGTGGTATTTGGTAGACAAGTTTAGTTTAAGTTACAACCCAAAAGTGAAAAATAAAAGGAAAAAAAAAGCAATCTTTTTCTTCTTTCATGAGTTCAAATGTTAATGTAACACACAGAACTCAAGTGCAACTTCGTCTTCAGACCAAGTTTTATCAACCTGTGATATAAGCTCTATTACCCTTCCTACCTCCTCTATCAAATACTAGCTTTGTTTTGGCCAGCTGTCAGCCTCAGGCAGCTCTCACAAATGTGTATGTAGGAGTTATGTTAAGTGAGTAGAAGCACAGAAGCAGGAGAAAAGTAGGACTGGTGCTAAGAGATAATATCGCTTCTAAATTAGTTGGAAATTTTTCTCCATGCAGAAAAAAGATGACACCAGTTTAGGAACTGATAATCTTATAGTATCTAAGGTTAGCAAAACAAATTTCTTAAAAGGACAAAATTCCTAGGACAAAAAAGCTCTGGGGATAAATTGTGTCTTAGAGCCAGAAATTTGCCCAAGGGTAGGAACAACTGAGTATAGGTTTGTTAGATTGCTAGTTCTAATGGCTTATGGTAGTGGTTTTCAAACCAAACCTCCAAACCCTAAAGAGATCCTTAAAGGTGCTTCAGGACTGTCACAGGGGATGAAGAGGAAGAAAAGCAGACAAAGTTGGTCCTGCTTCATCACCCCAACCTTTGAAAGTCTGAAACCATCTATCTCATGTATCTGATAAAGGATGAAGAACCAGGGGGTAGGAATGTTGAAAACCATCTATTTCTGAATTGTTGTGTTTTGGGATACTGATCTACAAGACAATATTAACTCACAGAAGTATATAGGTGCATGCAAGTATGGGTTGTTGTTGTTGTTGTTGTTGTTAGGTGCCGTTGAGTCAGATTCGACTCATAGCAACCCCTCCAATATCACTATGGAAGTAGATAGCCCAACCTTCCTTCCGAGGTGTGGCTGGTGGGTTTGAACCACCAGCCTTCTGGTTAGCAGTCAAGCACCTTGTTGTTGTTGTTATGTGCCATTGAGTCAGACCCAACTCATAGCAACCTTAGGCACTGAAAAATACAGTAGAGCTAAGCATATCTATTATAAAAGAATGAAAGTAGTCACAGCTCTAGTAGTCTCAAATAATGTCTCTCCAAGTTCTACTGTTTTCTACTAGCTATTTAAAGAGGATAAACAGATTAACCTGAGTCTCAGTTTCTTCCTCTTTAAAATGGTTCTAATTCAACCTAATGGATAAGATCTACATTTAATGAGCATCAGCTATATACTAGGCACTGAAGTAGGTGCTTTAGATATACCATCTCATTTGTCCCTTAAAATAACCTAATGAGATAGGAATTATTATCCCCATTTTAGTAAAAAAAAAGGAACAGAAGCTCAGAGAAGTTAAGTAATTTGCTTAAAATCACATAGCTAATGACTAGCTGAAGTGGGATTTGAATTAAGGCTTGACATTAATGTCTATGATCTCAAACACTATATTATACTGCTTCTCATGACATAAGTATTTGTGCAGGTACATGTTAAATTCTACCCTCATAGTACTGTTTGAAGGAGTAAAAAGGTATGTGGATATCACTGCATATTAAAGTATTAGCCAAATGTAGAGAATTTGTACCTTTGAGCGGTTCCTGGAGAACATATGCATTTAACTGAACTTCATTCTTAGGCAGGGTAATCTGGACACTCTCTCCAGCAGATACTACCAGTTCCTTTACAACTGGAAACAAAATAAATGTAAAAGAGATAAGATGTTAGATCTAGACTCCCTCATTTTTTTCCTTCCAATTTTGAACTCCTATTGCCTTCACTTCCTCATTACTTTGGACCTTTAGACCGATGATTCTCTGTTGTACAGGCACTGTCCTGTGCATCATAGAATACTTAGGAACATCCCTCGGCTCTATCTGCTACGTATCAGAAGCACCCATCCCACCACCAGTTTTAATAACCAAAACGTCTGCAGACCCAAAAGCATTCACAGACATTGCCAAAAGTCCACTGAGGTGCAAAAAAATCACATACACACACACACCTCCCTCCCTTACTATGCAAGTCTGACAATAACTGCTCATCTGGTATGAGATATAGGAAGTAGAAGAGCTTAGAGAGAACAGCTGGCTGGTCCTCCATATCCCAAGACTGAGATGAAAGAGGGCTTCACATATAAATATAAAACTTGAAATTCATCTATCTCTGCTTGGGAATACTGCACTTGGGGAGAAATGAAACCATCTTTTATGGAATCTTCAGGACACAGAAAAAGAACTATCTGAAGTGGTTGTCAGAAAGAAAGAAACCACTATACTCAGAGTATAATGGACAAAAAAATTGCTATTCAGTATAGTGCAACCCAAACCCTTCACAATTACACCAAAAATTACAAGCATTCCACTGGAATACAAAAATTACTCTAATGCCTTGGGATTGAAACCCTAAAATTTCATGTTCCACCAAAGGAGACCCTAAGAAATTAAATACTGGCAAAAAACTCACTTTCACTGGCTCTGCTATATCCTCCTGACTTTTTCAATGAATAAAGGTCAACTTAGTTTCCTCAATTAACCATTTTCTCCTAATACCTTAGAACAGTAACTGTGAAGCATGGACTTGTTAAGGCCACTTTCTCCATATTAATCTCCTTTCTGTGGATTGCTTTAAAAATAAAGATGTTGTCAAAATTGAAGAATGGCAAGTATGTGACCTAAACCAGCCTTTTAGAAGGCAAACAGGTACATGGATCCAACCTTTCTTCACAGTAGCCTCTGTCTGCTTGATTCTCTGAACATTATTTAATTGATTCTTGTGCCTTTACATCTTAGGCACAGTGGAATCTGGCTATGGGAAAATAAGCCTCATAAATTTCCATAGGCTGGGGGTCCTGTTGAAAAAGGGACAGAGAGAGAACCCTAAGTCCTGTTATTGTGAGCACTGACAGGGTTTTTTTTTTTTCCTCTAACCTCCAGTATTCAAAATTCACGCTTCTCTCTCTTCTGTCCTCTAAAAAGTGATACTTTAATCAAAAGCTCCACTTTCCTGTCCTCTCTCTAAGGGAAAGAGCATATGCCTCACCTGGGTATGGTGTTGAAGTGCTCTGGAAAGAAGCCTGGGGGGTAGGGGTGGCATAACTGTAGGAGGGAGCCACTGGCAGAGGAGTAGCAGTCTGGATTGTCCCACGATTTTTTCCTTGCTGAGTGTTGGGCATAGTACCAGGACCCTCTGAAGTCTCAGGCTGGACTGATAGATTCTTTGGCCGATCAGGAATCTCTGCAGTCAGATCTGTGGTTAAGGGACTGGAAACTGTAACTGCCTTGTGGACCTAAAGAAATGAAAAAAACTTCATTTGAGTAGGCAACAGTTACACAGTCAGTTTTACAAGGTTATGTTTCATGAAATAATTGTACTTTAAAATTATTTGAAAAGTACAAACATCTCACAGAATGGAATAAAAGTGTAGAAAAGAATCTCAAATTCCTAAAACAAAAAACCAGACTTACTGGACCGCTTGAAATGGAAGACTCTCCAAGACTATTGCCCTGAAATACTCTTTAAATCTTGAACCAAAATTAGCATCGTAGGTCACCTTGTAATGAAATAACAGATTGGTTCACAAAATAAAGAATATTAATCATGAGTACTGTGCTCCTTTAAAAAAATCATCTATATGAGACCAAATGGTCAATAATTACTTTAAAATAAAGATGAGAATGTAAGGGGACAGGGAAACTAGATTAATGGAAATGGAACAACCAGAACTGAAATATTGAGAATGTTTACACATTGTGAAGAATGTAATGAATCTCACTAACCAAATTGTGTAGAGATTGCTGAATGGAAACCTAAACTGCTATGTAAACCTTCACTGAAAACACAATAAAATATTTTATTTATATATATGTATGTATTTTAAAAAGTACAAATGTCAAGATTATTAAAAAAAACTAAACTTACCACTCAAAGACAGCTTGTATTAAAATGTTGATATAAATCTTTATTGTCTTTTTTTGCAAAAACTCTAGTTTAAAACAAAATACTAATAATCATACTATGTATAATACTTCCATATTCTTTCCTCACTTAACATTTGTATTCACTCTTTCTACAAATATTTATTGAGCACCTATTATAGAAAACAGACCTTGTAAATGTAAAAAAATAAATAAAACATATCATTGTGCTCAACAAGTGCACAATTTTCTTGAGGAGAAATATACCTATAAAAATTATGAGAACTACAGAAATACAATTTAAGGGCACCCGAGGGTGTGGAGAAAGATAACTTCTTAAAAAATAGGCTTTCTAGAGAGGAAGAGTGCTAAGCTGAGTTTCATGGGTAACCAGTTGTTTATCAGATACAAGTCTGAGAGACAGAACAGGTAAGGTATAGGTACAAAAAATGAGGTCAACATACTGTGTTGGGAACTAAGAGTTATAAACAGCTTTTTTTTTTTTTTTTTTCTTAGAGCACAAAATAACAGGCAGGCAGTAATGGAAGATGAGCTGGAAAGAGAGGCAAGGGCCAGACTAAAGAAGGCATTATATGCTACTTTAAGGAGCCAGGTAATGGTAAGGAGCCAGGTACACACAGTTGTATGCACCAAGTCCATGGGTGGTACAGGGCCCTTGACTGCTAACTGAAAAGTTTGGAGGCTTAAATTCACCCAAGGGTGTTTCAGAAGAAAAGGCTGGTGATCTATTTCCAAAAACTCAGCCACTGAAAAACCTACAGAGGACAGTTCTGACATTGTGGGGTCACCATGAGTTGTAAATGACTTGACAGCAACTGGTACCTGGTATGCAGGGAAGTGACAAGGTCAGGTTTCTGTTTTGGAGGAACTATTCAGGTTGTTAGGAGCACTGGTAGTGCAATGGTTAAGCATTTAGCTTCTAACCAAAAGGTCGGTAGTTGAAAACCCCCAGCCACTTTGCGGCTGATCTCATAAAGATGTTGTTGTTAGGTGCCATCGAGTCGACTCCAACTCACAGCAACTCTACATATAACAGAACGAAACACTGTCCATTTGTGCACCATCCTCACAATCCTTGTAATACTTGAGCCCATCGTTGCAACCACTGTGTCAATCTATCTTGTTGAGGGTCTTCTGCTTTTTCACTGACCTTCTACCAAGAACAATATTCTTCTCCAGGGAATGCTCCCTTCTGACAACAGGAACAAAGGCGGCGAGATGAAGTCTGGCCATTCTCACTCCCAAGGAGCATGTTGGTTGTACTTCTTCCAGGACAGATTTGTTCGTTCTTCTAATAGGCCATGGTATTTTCAGTATTCTTTGCCAACACCGTAATTCAAAGGCATCAACTCTTCTTCATTCTTCCTTATTCACTGTTCTGCTTTCACATGCATATAAGGCAATTGAAAATACCATGGTTTGGGTTAGGTACAACTTAGTCTTCAAAGTGTCATCTTTGCCTGCTAACACTTTAAAGAGGTTTTTTAGCAGCATATCTGCCCAGTGCAATATGACATCTGATTTGCTGACTGCTGTCATGGGTGTTGATTGTGGATCCAAGTAAAATGAAATCCCTGAGAACTTCAATATATTCTCCATTTATAATAATGCTGCTTACTGGTCCAGTTGTGAGGACTTTTATGTTGAGGTATACTGCAGACTGTAGTCTCTGTTCTTCATCAGTAAGTACTTCAAGTTATTTTCATTTTCAGCAAGCAAGGTTGTGTCATCTGCGTATCAAGGTTGTGAATGAGTCTTCCTCCAATCCTTGTGCTGCATTCTTCTTCACATAGTCCAGCTTCGTGGATTATCTGCTCAGCATACAGATTGAGTAAGTATGGTAAAAGGATACAACCCTGAGGCACATCCTTCCTGATTTTAAACTATGCAGTATCCTTTACTCTGTTCAAATGACAGCCTCTTTGGTCTATGTATAGGTTCCTCATGAGCACAATTAAGTGCTCTGGAATTCCCATCCTTCTCAATGTTACCCATAACTTGTTACGATCCACATAGTTGAATGCCTTTGTACAGTCAATAAAACACAGGTAAACATTTTGATGGTATTCTCTACTTTCAACCAAGATCCATATGACATCAGCAATGATCTCTTTTATTCCATGTCCTGTTCTGAATCCTGCCTGAACTTCTAGCAATCATTTTTTAATTATTTTCAGCAAAATTTTACTTGTGATATTAACGATATTGTTCGATAATTTCCACATTCTGCTGGATCACCTTTCTTTGGGATGGGCACAAATATCCATCTCTTCTAGTCAGCTGGTCAGCCAGCTGTCTTCCAAATTTCTTGGTATGGACGAGTAAGTGCCTCCCATGCTGCATCCATTTGCTGAAACATCTCAATGGGTACTCTATCAGTTCCTGGAGCCTTGTTTTTTGCCAAATCCCTCAGTGCAGCTAGACTTCTTCCTTCAATATCATTCATTCTTGATCATGTACTACCTCCTGAAATAGTTGAACATCAATTCTTTTTGCTACGGTGACTCTGTGTATTCCTTCCATCTTTTTTTGATGCTTCCCACATCATTTGATACTTGCCCATAGAATCCTTCAATATTCCAATTCAAGGCTTGAATTTTCTTCTTCAGTTCTTTCAGCTTGAGAAATGCAAAGGGTGTTCTTCCTTTCTGGTTTTCTAATTGCAGGTCTTTGTACATTTCATTATAATACTTTGCTTTGTCTTCTGGAGCTGCTCTTTGAAATCTTCTGTTCAGCTCTTTTATCTTGTCATTTCTTCCACTCACTTTAGCGACTCTCTGTTCAAGAACAAGTTTCAGAGTCTCTTCTGACATCCATTTTGGTCTTCTCTTCCTTTCCTGTCTTTTTAATGACCATTTGTTTTCTTCTATGATATTCTTTCTGTCATCCCACAACTTGTCTGGTTTTTGGTCACTGGTGTTCAATGCATCAAATCTATTCTTCAGATGATCTCTAAATTCAGGTGGGATGTAATCAAGGTCATATTTTGGCTCTCACAGACTTGTTTTAAATTTTTTCAACTTGAACTTACATATGAACAATTGATAGTCTATTCCGCAGCCAGCTCCTGGCCTTGTTTTGATTGATGGTACTGAGCTTCTCCATTGACTCTTTCCACAGATGCAGTAAATCTGATTCCTACTTATTCCATTTGGTGAGGCCCAAGAGTATAGCCGCTGTTTATATTGCTCAAAAAAAGGTATTGGAAATGAACAAAAGACAGGCATATGAGCTAAGCATTTACATTAGGCAGATACACTCCTTGGAGAGATCAATCATGGGAGAATAGAAAGGCTGTGTATGCACAGGGAGACAGCTCAGGGGCAGAAGTGCATGAGAGGGAAGGACACAGGGAAGAGGGGTTATGGGGAGGAAGTGGGAGGACAGCTGTTGCATTGTGGAAGATTGCAGTTAATGTCATGATGAGACAAAGTGTATGTGAACTGCTGTATGAAGATGAATTTGCTCTGTACACTTTCACCCAAATCACAAAAAAAAAATTTTTTTTAAGGTATTGGAAATGAGTAAGTCATTGGTCTTGCAAAATTCTATCATTCAATCTCTGTTGTCATTTCTATCACCAAGGCTGTATTTTCCAACTACTGATGATGATTCGTTTCCAACTTTTGCATTCCTATCACCAGTAATCATCAACACATCTTGATTGCATATTTTATCAATTTCAGGCTACAGTAAAGATTATAGCCTAGGCAACCTGATGGGGCAGTTCTACTCTTATCACATTAGATTTGTATGAGTTGGAATGTACTCAGTGGCAAACAACAACTCAGGCTGTAAAGAAGGCAATAGCAGGGATAGCATTTAGGAGGGTATGGCAATCATCCAAATGAAAAACAATGAGTGACTAAATAAGGGTTCTTAAAACTCAACTTCACTGAAGTACAGTTTATAAAATAGACAGCACTTCCTCAAAGTATAGAGGTCAATGAGTTTTGACAAAAGTATATACCCATGGCAGTGTAGTATATTACATGGTATAGCTTTTCCAGCCATAGTCTTTGTAACTCCCACTTTGCTGTAAGCAACTGAGTAGCTGATTGTTAAAGTTATCCACCTGGTGTATTTCTGTTGGAGCTGCACAAAGCAATGTTTGGGGAAGTTCACTCTCTCTCAGGTGTACAGACATCTGATAATGGGATTGGTTGTTTTGGCCATTCTGCCAGGCTCATAAAGGAGCCCTCCTAGAGGCAGGAGAGTCTCTCTGACTGCCAGCTGAGAGACATACTGCTGAAAGAGAGACATGCTACTGAAAGAGACTGAGACAGACTGCTGAGAGAGACAGCCAGCTGAAAGAGACTGAGCACATTCCTGAACTTGAATTGAAATTGAA